TGAAACTTAGTTGGCTGATTTCTTGAATTTGCATAAATCAATCTTCAAACTTGCTTTGCATAAATCAATCTTCTATTTCTTGAATACTTACTGATAAAGGGAATTCCAGTTTTTGATTTTTGCCTGCGTTTTCTTTCGACTGAAACTTTGTTGACTGATTTCTTGAATCTACAAAAATCAATCTTCAAACTATCCTCCATGCATTGGAAATTCCAGTTGAAGGAAAGGAGTGGACACAGTAGAAGATGATTGTGGTTGTAGTTCAAATCTCCCCATATTCTCAGTAATATTTTACAATCAACCAAACATAGCATTAGGAAAATTAACCCAATATTTCTGAGAATATTTTGACCTACCAAACAACTTTTTTGTAATATTTTCAGAGAACTCACTTTTCCCACCATATTTTCGAAAATCATGATTAGCGGGTAAAAAAAATCTTTCTTCTACCAAACGCCCCCTTAAGCTTTTGGGATTCCATAATAAATCACAGTTCATCATCACTCTTTCATTCAATGGAAGGTTCGCCTATTTATACCTAGTTGCTGCTGAGCACTAGAAACAAGCAGCTTCCTTTGTTTAATTAAGCAATCATCATACACGATTAATGAATTCTCCTTTTACTTCTTCCTTAGTCTTTTCAACTAACATTAAGCTAAAAATTAGTGGGTTTCTAACTTCTGCAGCGACAGTAGATGAGAAATTTTGTAGCAAGTATATTTACACCAGAATCCGCATGCGGCATTTAAAGAAAAAAAGGCAAGATCTGCATGTTTTGACTCTAATTTATTGAGTTATATTAATTATTTAATTATTAATTTAAATAAATTATAGTTATTAGATATATAAAAATTAACAGTTAAGATGGTATGTAAAAAAATTTAGTTTTATATTGGAGTTAAAAGATTCCTTCCTTTTACCAAAAAAAGAAGAAGATTCCTTCCTTTTTTACCATTCTAATTATGGTGACTTAGAGGAGAAATATATATATATATATATATATATATATATATATATATATAGGGTTTATCATCTATCATTTAACATGACCACAAAAATTTTCCTACACACACAACATTTTGTGGGACCCGCAGCAAAAAAAAAAAAAAACTTCGGCACGCAAAACGAATCTCTATAACATAACACAATCACTTTTCCTACAATATAACTCTTATAAAACCCATATATATATATATATATATATATATATATATATATATATATATGGGGAATGATATTATAACAATCAATTAGCGTTATTACCAATCAATTTCACCGTTAGATCGATTATATTGATCCAAGAGGTTATATTTATTCCCATTTTTGTATGGTTATGATTTCTCATATTTAATACTTTATATTTATTTTCACCTTTGTATGGTTATAATTCTCCATATTTAATGCTTTCACATTAAATATGGGGAATCATAACTATACAAAGATGGAAATAAATATAACTATTGGATCAATGTAAACGATCTAACGATGAAATTGATTGGTAGTAACCCTAATTGATTGTTACAATATGCTACCCCTATTTTATATATATATATATATATATATATATATATATATATAAGGAGAGATATTATGACTTCAGGATAAGACTAAAAAATATTACTCTTTATCTCATTTATTGATTTTCGTTTATCTATCGATTATAGTTTATCGGATTATATCAATAAATTAATTTATTAATTTCAAATAAATTAGATTTGTTAGATATACAAAAATAAATATCTTAGATAGGGAGTTAATCTTATTAGTTTTACACTAGAGTTAAAAGATCTCTCCTCTGTTATCAAAAAAAAAAGAAAAAGATCTCTCCTCTTGTTATAAAAAAAAAAAAAGATCTCTCCTCTATTTTTATTTTGTTTTTGTAAATATTCATAGAAAAAAATATTTATCATTTCAAAGAATATAAAATTATGTTATTTTAATTAAAACTATTGTGTTTTAGGCAAAAAAAAAAAAATAGTAATACAATGAAAGATCATGGTAGAAAAAAAGTGAAACACTTGTTTACCAAAAAAAAAAACGAGAAACATTTTTCCATATTCTTATAGGGAAATGTTTTAGTTATGTAACATAACATAAAAACAAACTTCCCACTCTCACATAAGGAAGAGAGAGGAGAGAGAATAAGAAAAAGAGAAAAAATTTAAAGTAAGTCCCATATAAAATTTGTATGTGTAGGAAGATAGTTTTATGTTATGTAACATAATAAAAATAAACCCCATTCTTATATCCTGCCCTGTTTTTATGTTGTTGACCTCTTTTTTTATTAGAGAAGGCCAAATATCATATAAAGGCAAGTAATGGATGATGGATCATCTCGTTCCGCAAAAGCTTGAGCTCCGCATTTTTTCTTCCCCTTACTGATATCACATCACATTGTCATCCAATTGATTAATTCAATCACCATAAGATGCTTGCCAACAAAAAAACAAAAGAGAAGATGGTAATATATATATATATAAGGAGGGCGAGTAACTTGAATTTGTACATTATTTGAATTTGTACCTACGCGTATGGCTTTGTTGGGATTCTTTGCGTGGGGCTTGAGGTTCACCTTGTTTACGTAAGGACATAAAGGCAATCAAACTTTATTTTGGTTTATTCTATTTATTTTTTCTCGTACCGTAAGTTCCATAACCATGCCATACCATTACCACACCGCTATATATGATTTAGTGTTCACAATACGTAGCTTCATAATGATATTCATTTAATGGAGACACCGCTGGATTGAGTGGAGGACGGGGAAGAAGATGACACTCTGTCCGCAAGCGTGGGGTTCAGTGAATGTTGGCCACTCGAGATTCTAACCATTTATCATTTTTTACCTGATCATATATATATATATATATATATATATATATATATATATATATATATATATATTGATGATAGGCTTCAGTACCATCCTTTGCATTCCTGATTTCTCGGAAAATCATAGCCTCACTTCACAAATTGTGGCCTGCATTTCTCTTTCTTAATAAATCCTTACTCACATTGCTAAGTGACCATGCTCGATTCCGTATATTACATATTTTCTTTTTATGTTTAATGAGTGTCATGTTACAACTTATATCTTTTAATCAGTTTTAATTATGTATTACCAAAAATACATAGTTATAATATCAAAATTATATTTTTTATCTTTTTTCAAAAGATGTCTGATGATATGAAAAGTGAAAAAGATTATAATTTTAATATTATAATTATATATTTTCTAAGATGCATAATTAGAAAAATACTAAAAGTACATAAGTTTGTATCCTTTGAAAGGATATACTTTTTCCCCATAATATAAACTATGGGTTTCTACTTCTGCACTGACAGCAGATAAGAAATTTTACAGCAAGTGCATGTGAATTCTGTCATTAAAAAAAAAAAAAAAAACTATGCAGATCCTACTTTTTTTTTTATGTGTTGATGTAGAATTTCTCATCTAAAGTGACATAAACAAATATATTTGCCATAAACTATATGACGTGTTTTTGCATGGATCCAATTGGAAGAGTTGTCATCCTATGTGGTCCTCCTATATACAATTATTCTCTCATTGATTTAGACCCCTAAATTCTGATTTCATGCAATAATACTCTCTACATGAAAAACTTTAAAAAAAAAATTATCAGTTTATTACATAAATTAAATTGCAGCTGTTTCTTCTTTTTTTTTTAAGGAAAAAAAACATATAATCAAATTCCAATTCCCTGCATTTCTCTCAAACTTGAATATATAAATGATGGATCCCTTCATATATCCATATATCGCTCTCCTGTATATATCAGGAGAATGCAGATCTAAATCCTCATATCTGAACAAACGATTAAAAATGGTATAAAAAAGTTAGAGAAGAAGAATAGTTCAGGCGGAAAATGGTATAAAATGTAAAGATTCATTTTAATTTTTTTGAACTTGAAGTATGAATATTATATCACTCAATTTTTTTTTTAATTTACTTTGTGTTTATTTAATTTCACTAGAAAATGAAAGATACTGAAGATCGAAATTATGACTTTGTGATCAAAGAAGCTCTGATCATATAAAGAATAATTTTAACTCAAAATTTTAAAGTATTAAATAAAGATTTTTTAATAATTTATATCTTTCTCTAATATAAAATACCATATATTTTAAAAAAAAATATAGGATAATTTCTATGGGATCTATAATTATCATGTTACAATAAATTGATTGCATCATCTCGTAGACAATTTGAAACTCATGCCTTAAACTTTTTGTTTTAAAAACGATGGGACCCGCATATATTATCTCTGCGTGAAAATACAAACTCTTTCTGTAACACGACAATCCTAATCCCCATTTTCTATTGGGCAAAGCATTAATCTTTCTACACCGGGAGTAATTAATGCGTGATATTGATGTACTTATATCTAATTAAGTACATCATATGCATCCGCTTCCTAATTATTTATTGTTTATGACACGAAAAACACACTATTTAAATACAATGACCCATGTATCCCACCGTTTCAAATATTGTTTATTCTCTAATTCTGATATAATTATGTGAAAATATCACAATTATAAAAAATGATTCAACCGTTATAATTTTGTAATTATCTATTTAATATCTTCTTTTTTTTCTTTTATTATAATTATTACAATTAATTAGTTTTGTATTGTCATTACTCTCCCCGAGAATATCCAAATTCGGAATAAATTTTTGGTACTGTATCTAAATTCAGTACATCTCATCAACAAGAGCAATACACATCAAAGGAGAGAAAAAAAATTGACAGAAAAAAAATAATTCCATCTGACATGTAATATTTTTATTGGTGGGATGCACTAAATCTTTGATACGCACTAAATCTTTGATACACCAGTAGTACTAAAGATTTATTGGCAGAGTCACCTATGATATTGTGCATTAAATGGTCCACGTCAGATTTGCAGAATCCCTACACGTTACTTTAAAATTTCTTCTTAGTTGTCTTCATCCCAATATTGCTCTTACGGGGACACAGAGAGAGAGAGAGAGAGTGCAAAAGGAACACAAGTGGGAGTTTCAAATATTGCTATCTCCCATAGCATATAAAATTAAGATCTGCGTTAGCCAGTAAAATCTCTGAAGCAGAAGGCATTGTCCACTGTGACAGGCATGGGTGAAGTAAGAGTTTCTACACTCAATTTCTTTTTTTATTCTAAATCAATCTGTCTCTTTGCCTGTTCCTTTTTGAGATATTCACAACTTGCAGCTTTCAGAACTGGCTACCATTTGATCTTTTCTCAACCCTGATACTTTCAAGTTTTTTTTTTTTTTCCTTCCATAACTGTATGATTGTGTTATCTCCTTATTTATCTAATACTCATCCCATGTGAAATGGAGATTTTTGAGTTCACATTTAAATGTTGTGTCTGCTGCCAAAGGAAAACAAGGAAGAAGGAAATAAAGAAGACACCAAAGAGGAAAAGAAAGAAGAGAAAAAGGATGAAAACAAGGACGGGTTACTGGAGATAGTACTCAAAGTTGATATGCATTGTGAGGCCTGTGCAAGGAAAGTTGCTAAAGCATTGAAAGGATTTCAAGGTCATTTCTCTTCAACTTTCTCCCTCTGATATGTGTTCTGTTCCTGACTTGAGTACTTCTATGACATCTAATCTAGTCCAAGACCATATATGAATGCATATAGATGAGGATCCTAGGAGTCCTCTCCTGCCTGGTATATTGAATAAACTATTATAGCCATCATGTTACACATAGTCTTATGATTTAGTGTCACCTGATATGATACTTTTATCCTCTCTTTTTTCTTTTTTCCTTGGTTAGATGGATTAATAATTCATATGATATGATTACTTTTGAATTTCACAAAATAAAGATGAAATAGGTTTGTCTTAGATGTCCCATTCATGTAGAGACAAAAGTTAATTATTGCATTCATAGTTAACAAAGGTAAAGGTGCATTATAGGTGGTGGAAAAGATTAATAAAGTAGTGTTAACGTTTCTTAATTATCTTTTTTTGTGAGACAGGAGTGGAAGATGTGAGTGCAGATAGCAGGACAAGCAAAGTAGTAGTGAGAGGGAAGGCAGCAGACCCCATAAAGGTGTGTGAGAGGCTACAAAAGAAAAGTGGTAAGAAAGTGGAGCTAATTTCACCGTTGCCAAAACCTCCGGAGGAGAAAAAAGAAGAAAACAAAGAACCACCGCCAGAGGATAAAAAAGATGAGGTGAATCATTCTCTTCTTGTTTTGTCTGCAACAAAAATATTCACCATGAAAAGATAATGTTATGAATTATTCTCCTCGACAAACATTAGTGAGAAGCTTTCAAACCTCAAAAACAAAGTCTTAAAAACGTTAGAAACAAAACACCAAAGTCCTAGTAATTTAGTCATCAGCCACGTGCTTGCAGTGTCATTTCCGTAGTTTTTTTATTTTTTTTCATGTATGGTGTCTTGATTCGGATAAAGGGGCTGGTGTTTTCCAAGCCACGGTGGGTGCTGACATGAAAGTAACTAAACAAAGTGATGCCCCTCCCAAAGGCACACGTAACGAGGGCAACGGCGGTGACAATTGAGAGGGTTTGACCCCACCCCCCCTTTTGTCCATCACCACTTGACATGCTACTCTTCTGCAAAATGGGGTCACGGGCGCAGTACTCCTGGTTTTACCGTGTCCCCACTCTGTAAACTTGATAACATTAACTGATTGGTAATTTTGAGACCACATATCATATAACAATGTGGTGTGGGGAGACTAAAACAAAAGGTGAGATCAACACAATAAGGTCATGACTCTCTGAGACTGATCCACTGCTAGTCTGCTATGCCAAGTGGTGAAGGGATGAAAATATACTTTGTGCATTCAAGTACATTAGACTAATAAATTATCAACATATCATTATTTGATAATTAACTGCTATAGTTGATAATTAGTAAATATACTATTAATATATGAGGTGGAATATTCTTACTACCAACATTTTTTACTACCAACTCACTATCTATCTAATCACCATTGGATTAACATTTTCTCTTTTTTCAAAAACTTTTTAGCATTCTCTCTCTTTGATTCAATGGTGATTAGATAGGTAGTAAGTTAGTAGTAAAAAATTTTGAATAAGAATATCCCCACTCTTAATATATTGGCTTAATAGTATATATAATTTAGATACACCAGCTTTATGCAAGAATTTTCCAGTTGGGATGTTTATTTATTTTTTTGGGAGGGGAACTCTTTCGCCTTTTTTATTACACTTGGAAGTTGGAAACCCCGTATCATGGCCCATATCTGAATTGGCAAATTATTAAAATGTGGGACCATGTAGGGGTCTCTCCTATAGTCTATTGTGTGAAATCATGGCTTAGAGATACATGGTACGTAAAAAATTCAAAAGAAGACCCATTAATTTTTTGTACTCTAGTAAGTGTTTGTTGTGTTTCTCTATGGAGGTTTTGTGTGGAGTTTTAAATAGTGTATCTGTTTCTAATTGATAGTGCTTATGATATACTGGTTTACCTCATTTTGCCAAAACAATAATATTTTCATAAAGTAAAAACAATCTTATTTTGATGGTAATGTAACTCCTATCTTGTGGTTGTTTGCATTGCTTGTCAGCCTCCACCTGTGGTAACAGTTGTCCTAAAAGTTCGAATGCATTGTGAAGCATGTGCTCAAGTTATACAGAAGCGTATCCGTAAGATTCGAGGTACAATTCATCCTCTCTATCTCTCTGTTGCTCCTGCGTACAGTTTCTCCCTCTCACTCTTGCACTTACTAGTACAATCACTACATCACCCACTTAAACACCACATGGTTAAAAAACATGCTTGCCCTTTTGTTTGATTTACTCTTTTCTCTTCCTTTTGAAAATCATATAATCACAAACTATATATATGTTTACATAAACGCAATATTTTTAAACTCTTTTACATAAAATCATTTGTTAAGCCGTTGCAGGCTTCTTAGAGATGTATACATAAACGCAATATTTTTAAAGTTAGGTTTACGAGCATGTAATGTTCTGTTTTTTCCTAATATGTGGCGCTAATCCCGTTCCTTTTTAAACGCGTGGGAGCTTGCAAGTTTTTAACTCATTCTTTTGACTCAAAAAAGGAAAAGAAAAGGAAAAGTGGTGATCTCATTATTTTCAATAGGATCTCGATGATTATATTAATCCCAATGCCACATATCTTAACTATATATAAAATTAGTATTTTTAGCTCAAAAAAGAAACTACATAAATTAATCTTCTATCTGGATGCTGAAACATTTGTATATAACCAGTTCATGGTTTGAGCCGCATATTGCATAAATTTTATAATGCCCATGCAGTTTATATACTACTTCAGCAGACAAAAAGTGAACCAGATCTTCAGACATTTGTATACGTGTTCCTGTGTTGGACATCAAACATTATCAAAGCATGATATTGATCCTATAATTTAATTTTATCTTGTTGGGGTCCTCGATTGCATGCTCGGTATTAAATTATTCGTCTAGGGAAAATAAAATACATGTACTACATAATCGTTATTGAAAGAAAATTGTTATCAATGTTTCAACTAGTTATTTTGCCTAGTATTTTAATTTGATGAATGTGTCCGTATTTTGGCCTCTATGTTTTGTTGCAGTTCCTTTTGTTACTCATCAACTTATTATAAAATTATAGTTTAAAGAGGTCTTTCAAGTCTCAACATTCAAAATGTGTGTTGATAACCCATTGTTATTCAATCGATTGTGTCTGGATAACCCATTGTCACTTCTTCTTCCCTTCCCTTGGCACCCTTGATTCCATGAATAGAGTCTTTGAAAGATAATTTTTTCATGGAAAAGTTTCTGAACTTTTTCTAGAAATACTTGATCTTATATTCCATGCCCAATTAACACTATCTCAAAACTGACATCCATTATCTATAAATTAATAATTGGTGGGCAATTCAATGTGTACTAATAATCGTATGTGCAGGAGTAGAATCAGTGGAAACAGACTTGGCAAATGATCAAGTCATAGTAAAAGGTGTCATTGATCCTGCGAAGCTTGTTGATCATGTGTACAAGAGGACCAAGAAGCAAGCCTCTATTGTGAAGGACGAAGAAAAGAAGGAAGAAGAGAAGAAAGAAGAGGATAAAAAGGAAGAGAAAAAAGAAGGTGAAGAAAACAAGGGAGAAGAAGATAACAAAACTGAAATCAAGAGAAGTGAATACTGGCCATCGAAAAACTACATCGACTACGCTTATGCCCCTCAGATTTTCAGCGACGACAACCCGAATGCCTGCTCTGTTATGTAAACCAGCAATTTGTGCTAACTCTCTATTAATTAGCGCAAGTAATTTTCTTTCCTATGTTGTTAGAGCTGGTCGCTATATATATATATATATAATGGTGTGAGTATTTGAAGGGTGTATTCCTTCCTTTCCTTGGCATCCCTTAGAGCTAGATGTCTTATTTCTTGTGCTTATGAACTTTCAAGTATTTGCTTGCCACTTCTGTTGCTTCACCGAATTTTGGCCTAGAATTTCTTTACCTATTAATGTTGATATTAAATATTTAAAGCAATCGTATGTCTTTGAAGAATTTTCTGAATTTTTAAAAGAGTCATTGCTCCCACAGCTGCTTCACACTAAATTATACTACAAGTACTAGTAAATAGCAGTAGTTACAATTTACAAGCTATTCAGGCTTCAATATATTAGCTTCCCTGATCTCCTTTCAATCACGTCATGAAATCGTTCATTGGTTGAATGAGGTTTACTCATGAGTGAATCTGTTACCTGCGAAGTCAGGGAGTAGTACTGCTGGTTTTTAATTGTGACATTCAGAATGGATTGTGTCATCATTCAAATAGAAAGTTTTCAATTACTGTACAACATTTTCAAAAAGTTTAAGTTGCCCTTGTACCTATCCAAAACCGATATTATAAGAAATCATTAATGCATGCACATGGAACATAAATCAAATGTGATAATTCAAAAAGGTTTAGAACATGCGGCTTATTCTCGATTTCCCAATCAGCACATCATATACCAAATGCGGGTTAAGACATAAGACAAAGTGACTCACCTTATTTTCTGTCTGTGGCCTGAGATTCCAAGATCCACTTCCCATCCTGCAGCATACTTCAAAAGGAAATGGGGCTCTTGCATTCCGACCTAGCAACTTACACATGCTCTAGATTGGGATACTTTGGGATCTGACACTTTCTCGATCCTTTTAGGTAAATGCTAACATCTATGTAGCTAAACATAAGTACTCAGTGCAAGTGGTGGTAATTGGAATCAAAATTTTGATCTGCGTAGATCATTTCAGACTTCATCATGTACTATAGAGTCATATGTATTGCGTAGTACAATGGAATAGATGGCCTGATGATAATGTCAGAGGAAGATCTAGTGCACCTTATCTCTTGGTTTTCGGTAATGGGTTGTACTTGCAAGTTGCACCAGTATTTATATCTTTGGACCACTAGGCAATTGTTGAATTACATTAATAGACAGTAGAAATGAAGTTTAAGACAAACACGGGCATACAAAAGGAAAAAAGGTGAAGGAGACTGGTTCAGGTCCTACTCACGCAGATATCGGAGTTGTGGTACCGTCACTGAACTGAATAATGCTCAAGGCAGACTAGATGTTATCCACATCATAATGTGCTTTCTTTGTGTCCCGACTTGAAGCACACTCTAACTGAAAAGCCTGACCCTCTTTAGGTCTCTCATTCATTCTGACAAAAGAAACCCACTATCCTTTTCCTAGTGCTCTGGGAATGACATAGCTGTGGCTTCATTAGATCTAACCATTTACATTTACTATACATTTTGGAGAAACGAATTGTGTGCATGAAATATAATAGCCCAACTTAATTAATTAGTAAATCTAATGTAATTAATTAATTAAACATGTTTTTAGTGAGTGAAATTAAGTATAAGGCTTAATTAAGTGAATCTGAGTCACTTTGGAGTTAAAAAGTGTACTCAGTGAAAATTAAGGGGTATAAATGGGTACTGGAAAAAGTACCCAAAATATAAAAATAAAAACAGTAATATTCCTAGAATAATATTCCAGACTTTTGGGTAAAGTTTGATAATTATTGGAGTTGAATAGATAGACGAACCAATACCCACATAAGTCACTTAACCAAGTAAGTGACTTAAAAACACAAAAGAATCCCCATTTTTCCCCCACTTTCCCGTCGCCAGAAAACGGAGAGAAAAAGAAGAAGAAGGAGAAAAGGAGGGAGAAGGAAGGGAGGAAGAGAGAGAGAGATCAAACCTTGACCGTTTTGGGTGATTCAAAAGCCTAAATCGCTTAGAATCTCGCCCTCTTTCATAATTCAAGCTTAGTTTTAAGTGGGGAGCTTTGTGTGGGGAGATATTGGCTCTCAAAAATTCGGCCCTTTGGTGAAAATTGGGATTTTGAGAGTTTCTACCTCTATTGAAGCTTGAGAAGCCATCAATCCTTGGTTGTGTGACCATTGGTGGTAAGATTCTAACCCTTGAACCATGTTTTCTTGGAAATTTCATGATATAGGGTTTTGAATGAATAGTGTTATGGATTTTGTGAGAATTTGAGTAAATTGGCTATGTTGTGGTAGAATTGAGATTTAGCACATGTTGAGAAAAGTGCTAAGGATGACAATTAATCGGTGGAAATGAGCCTAGATAGTCATTTAATAACTGATCATAATATTGGAAAATTCATGCTTGGATTGGTTAGTATTCTAACATGTTGAACAATTAGTGAGTTGAATGATTGATTGGATCCTTGTGATGTCTAAGGTTGAGACATTTGGACCAACCGTGAGTGATCAACCATTGCAGCAAGCTATGGAGCTTGAATAGCTCCTTGGAATTGGTAAGCTCATACTTGTGTTGTGTTTTGAATTGAGTAATTGATGGTTGATTGTGGAATACTCTTGGATGCAATGTGTTGATTGCATTACACCATGTGTAAGTGTTGGTTTTGGAGTAGAGTATTGTTGACATTGGTGAGGAACAAAAGTCGACTGAAGCATTGAGGTAAGCCTTCGGACCTTGGGTGTAATTCCCTTGACTGTTCTACCAAGCCCTGAAAGGGTGGAGGTTGTGATTGTGTATATAAATGCAATAAAATAGTGTAATGCTTTGTTATACGTATGTGTATGCATTTGGTGTGGCATAGGATGGTGTTTCCCTATGTTGGTATGTTGCATGACGATGCGTAAATCATACTTGGTAGTTAGCTGGCCAGTAGGACTATTTGCATCTGAGTTCCTTAGGACAGCTTGAGAGCTCGAGGGATTTCTCCTGGAGATGTATTGCACTTTGCATAGATATGTATTTACTGCATTATTATTGTTATTGCTATTACACTGATATGGAACTGTGGGGTGGAGAGATGCTCCAAGGACCCCTGGTTTACTGGATATATTCGTATATCTCACCCCGTGTTGTGGGGACCCCCTTTCAGGTAAGGATGCTGCAGGAGCCTCTGGTGGCAAGTGGCCATATCTGGATTATGCATGAAATGTGGCATTTCTTTTGAGTTTATGCATGACTTTTGTAGTTGACATGTATAGGATTTTATTTTGAAAGCCCATGGTCATTTGTATATCTTGATTTCATTGGATGAACTTAGCCTATGCTCATGCCTTTGGTTACACCTTTTGTTGATGGGAGCCAAGGGAATGATCATAGTGTTTTGTAAGCTAAGTTCCAGGATTTGTAAAGAATATGTAATGTAAATGATGCCTACTTGAAATTCAATATATGCATGTTTGTTATGTATTGAGTTGTTGAATTGGTTGGGCTGAAAATCAATTAGGTACCCTTTGTTTAAATTGGGAGACGATGAGAAAACAAAGGTCATGCTGCCCAAATTCTAGCTAAATCTCATGAGGAGAGATTGGATGAGTGCTAGGATTTAGTTTTGGGGCATGGACAATTGGGGTTTGTAATGGGGATGCATCTTCCCCTAGGATTGGACTTGAAAAATGTGGGAATTGGAATTCCCTGGCAGCGCGCTTAAGCGCCCAGGAGCGCGCCCAAGCGCCCTGCTGCCCCTGCGAGTGCCAATGCATTCTGCCTCCTCGCGCTGGAGCGCCCAAGTGGGGGCTTAAGCGCCCAGGATTGCGCGCTGGAGCGCCCTGGCTTGCGCTTAAGCGCCCTTTGCTACAGAAAGTTGGGATGCTTACTGTCCCCTCGTGTTTTAGCGCCCAGGGTGGGGCTTAAGCGCCCAGGGTTGCGCGCTTGAGCGCCCTGGTCCGCGCTTGAGCGCCCTGGTCCGCGCTTGAGCGCCCTTCGCCACTGAAGGAGGAGATGCTTCTGTCTCTGCGCGCTAAAACGTCCCTGTGGGAGCTTGAGCGCCCAGGATAGCGCACCTGAGCGCCCTGTTGCGCGCTTGAGCACCCATCCACACTGGAATGCCTGATGCTTACTGCCTCCGTGCGCTTAAGCGCCCAGATGGAGGATTTAGCGCCCGATAGCGCGCGCTTGAGCGCCCGGTAGCGCGCTGAAGCGCGCGGGGCCTGTGACCAACACCCTCTTGTGTTGCTTCAATTTGTCCTAACTTGGGCTACTGTGCTCCGATTTGAGCGCGGTTTGAAGCCACGCATAGCTAATGAAGAAACCTACAATATAGTAGAAGTTGTGAACTAAATAAGAAGTAAATTAATGGTTTAAAAATGGAAAATGAACATGATGTTAAGCTTAATTTATCTGTTTCCGCAAGGTAATATGGTTATGATCACGAAATTGGGTATTATAAGTTCGGTACGTTTTAAAATGAAAAATTTATCCGGATTTTAATTGAACCCATGTGATTGTAACTGCGCTTAATATCATAATGCGATGTTAACAAACCGGTTCTAGAACGGGGTGTTACATGAAAGGTCCAACCTTTTCCCTTCACTGGAATGTCCTACATTTATGAACATTTAGCGTTTGTAGTGCAACAGTTATCAATAACAAAGAAAAATAAAATGGTTAGTGGTAATTGAGAGTATTATTTAAGTGAGAGATAAAAGTTAATCTACATCCAATATTAACCATTAGGTCACAACTGCATGTCTCTTACAATGTTTTTATTTATTACATAATGGTTGAACCAATTGAATCAATAATCCAGTGTCCAAGACTATTCAAATGTAATCACATTATTTTGGCTTGGCGCGGCTGAAAACTATTTCCAAGAAGTTTCGAACCCATGCAAGCTTAATTTGGTACCAGCTTTTTGGGGAAAATGTTGGGAAAGTGGGGGTGAGAAATTTTATTCCCATGTTTGTTATGAGCTTTTGTTAAAATAATCTTGGGAAAAAATTTCCCCATCATTTTAATTTCTAACTACTCATTGTTAAAACATAAACCCATTTGCCCCATGGTTTTTATTTTTCCCCACTTCTCACATTCTTGTACTAAAATTTGGAGACCAAAATGTCCTCACATAATACATCTGCGTTTTCTACTTAGCTCAATTGACGTTGTCGTTTTTGCATTATGGAACAAACATAATAATAATGATAAGAACACCTTACTGTAGGTAAGGGATAGTAGTGTCAAATTTTTTGATGTCAATTTTGTCATTTCAAAATTTAAAAATAAGGATAATTTTGTCATTTAGATCAAGATTTCCATCAATATTTTACAAATAACCAAACATAGCATTTGTAAAATTAACTTAATATTTCTGACAAAATTTTGTCCTACCAAACATCTTTCTGTAACTTATCCGACAAAAAAATTTCCCCTTCATATTTTCAGAAATCTTTTCTTCCGAGTGAAAAAAAAATATCGTACCCTGAATTTTTTTTAGCATCCTCTGCCACTGCTGTCAACCTCACTTCTACAGCAAACAGAATATTGGGAATATCAACCATGATATTATTAGGCACACAAAATAAAAAGGAAGGGGGGGAGGGGAATTACACTTACCCCATTGAACTGAAAAGTGATAAGGAAATGCTCTTGCATGTTGATTCCTAGGCCTTCTATTATTAGTTGCGAACTATCAATTCTCCCTCCACGTGTGATGTAAAATAAATAAATAAAATCTCATATATATGTGGACCATAGATTATAAAGTTGTGGATCATATCCTAAAAATGGGCCAAAGCCGAATAATGCGCTAATAGGCCTTGAACCTTCACCCTTTCAATATTCTATTTAGCTGGAAATGCATCTACTAATGACTACTATTGTTTCTTTTTTTTGTCCCTGGCGAATGATTCATCGTCCTATAAACTATAGTTATGTCTCATAAATGACCTCAAAGGCCGCAACATTATAGCAACAATAATAAACCAACTTGAGGAATATAAAACACATAAGGGGAGTAAGATCTAAGCGAACAGCTAGTGTAAACAATTTTGTCTTGAATGCTGGGCTTCTGTCCATGCGAGAAAGGTGACCATAAATAATAGATTTCATTTTAAAAGCAATAGGGAAAGGGAAGGGTCTTTCTCACCCATACCTACCTATGTTCGCCAAATTTTGCTAATTGGATAATGATAGAAAACATCGTCTGAGTTGAAAACTTGTAAATTATTAGATTGTTCTCTGATCAATACAGTGGCGAATTGAAAAATCCTCTAAAAGTGACCCGTGAATGAGCCCACAAGGTCTTGTTTGGTATGGTTGGTGCGAGGTCATATGCCTTCGGGATTAGGACATTTTTTGGCCATTGGTGTGTGTGAAACCAGAGAAATTTTTTATTTCAATCATTGTCCCTAAGAATCTTAATTCCTATCTATGTAAGACACAATCAAATTTCCAGGGAGGTTTAAGTCAATTACATGCCACGACCTACTGCGTTCCATTTTGTCTTCTTTTTATCATTTTCTTTGGTGAATATGTATCCTTTTGGCCAATTGGTTATTAGGATAGTTTTTTAAACTTGGTAAACAATTCAGAACTTTAGAAATTTACAATAAGTCCGTGTTTATTCAAAGATCAGATTATTATTATTTTTTTGAAAATTAATCTCTTTTGAAATTTTAATTTACTCATGCTTTGACTAGAACAATTCTATGAGATGGATATGATTTTGATAATAGAATGTTAAAAAAAAGTAAAAAGAAGTATCATTTTAAATGACATAAACTTGTGTCCTTTTAGATAATTTACATAAAGTATGACTGATTATACTTTGTCTAAGTGCCTGTTTGGATCCTCTTATTTTTAAGCTAGAAGCTACTTATAAGCATAAGCTAGGCCAAACAGGTTTTAGAAAAAGCTCTTATAATGAAAAACTCTTTTTTTTATAATGAAGAAAAAAGCTGAAAATTAAAAGCTCCTAGGAGGAGCTTTTTTTTAGCTCTTATCTATTTTTCTTGAATTGTGTGCTCTTTTTTTTATAAATGAAGAGTAATAAAGATAGAGAAATAATTTTCTTGAAATATGTGCTTTTAAACTAAATTTTTTATGTAATTTCCAAACAGCTTTTAGCTTCTTTTTTTAAGCTTTTAGCTTCTTTTTTTAAGCTTTAGCTTATAAGTAGCTTATAGCTTAAAAATAAGAGGATCCTAAAGTCTTTTTTTTCTCTCTCCAGTTACTGTAAAGAACCTTGGGATACACCACCCTAAAAGCTAGCTCAAGGGGTGGGAGTGTCCAAGGCCTTATAAAGGCCATATTAGTTGCCCATCCAATCAATGTGAGACTATATATCTCAGCACGCCCCCTCTCACAAGAGCCTTTTAGGCTAGAAGCGTGAAAATTGCACAGTCCCATTTTTGGTTTACCTTTTTGTGTTTTTTTTTTTTAATTTTAATTCCACTTTTTAAAGCGGAGGACGGTGAGGCTCTGATACCATGTAAAGCGGGGGACGGTGAGGCTCTTTTTTTTGTGCTTTTTTTTTTAATTTTAATTCCACTTTTTAAAAGCGGGGGACGGTGAGGTGAGGCTCTGATATCATGTTAAGAACCTTGAGGTCATATTAGTTGACCATCCAATCAATGTGGGACTATATATCTCAACAGTTACATCGCTGACGTGTAAAGTGAAAAAGAGAGTAACTTTTTAGATTTACACAAAATATGACCGGTCATACTTTATGTAAGTCACTAAAAGAACACAACTTGTATCCTTTTAAAATGACACACAGTAAACCCTAAAAAAAATATAACAAATAGGAGCTGCATAGCCCGACAAAGGCAATAGGCAAAATTTGTTGTTGTTATATTTTTAGCAGAGAGGGGGGGTTTGGGGAATTGTCACCGTTAAAAGGGTGCAAAATTATTTTTATTTTCGTTTCTGATAAAATTTTATGGATAGAAAAATATATTTCATAACACATATTCTATTTTGCGTGTATTTAATAAAGAGAAAGATTTTCCGTTGTTGTAATTTTTAAAAACTGATAACATATTTTACTATGTGTGTATTTAATAAATAATATGTGAGGCAACAAATAAATAAAAAAAGATTTTGTTTTTCAATTTTTATCCATAGGTTAGCGGTTTATTCTTTGGAGGAGAAATAAATCGGCTTTACTGACACAATTTGTAACTATTTTTGTGTCCCGGATTAAAAATTAAAAATAAAATAAAATTGAGAATTTTGTCATTTACAGCCTAAGTTCTGGGTTGTTTAATTTTTTTAATATACGGGATTTATTAATATTCTAAATAAGAGCATGAAAGGTGAAAAGAATTAATATTAATCCTATAACTATATTAATATGATTAAGATTGATTTTATTTAAATTTAATATTATTAATCTATATAGAATCTGTTTATCAAATTTAACTTATTTG